TTTGTCAGCTTTACCCGAGCTCAGAGCCTTCCTTGCCTTGCTTCTCTGCCCGGCTTCTGGCCCGGTGTGTTTTTCCATCCAGCCCAGGTCCCGCCTTAGACCCAGGCCACCACCCTGGGCTAGCCCCCCACTTCACCTTTCTCAGCCAGCTGGCCCCACGTCAGCCCCTGTTGCACTTCTTTGATCCAAGTTTTTACCAGCCTTCAGGTCTCCACACACCCTCAGGTTGTAGGACAGGACGTTTTTGCTAAAAATTACCCGCAAACTCAGGCAGACCAGGCCTCCACCAGGGAACAGTGTCGAGAAGAGCGAGTCCAGGGCCACGGGACAGGTGGCACGGGACATTCCCAGCGCTAAAATGGAGCGGGAATGGAGTCATCAGTGCGGGCACCAACCTGTGAACCTGGAGTCCTTGGGAGTGCCTTTTCCGTCCCAGACTTCCTCTCCCTGTGGGGACTCTCTCTCCACGGATTTCTAACGGGGCATTTTTACTTAATTGTGTTACTGGGTATGTCTTTTGGACTACAGCTCTTCAGGATATCCTTGGACCTGCACTTGAGAGAGAGAGTATACACTCAAAACATGCTTCATAATATTCCCGCTGCTACTAAGGCAATTATGTCAAAAAGTTAAGAGCATGGGCCATATAGCAGACTACAGGTTCTAATCACAGCGTTCTCCTCTTATTTGCTGTGTGGACCTGGACAGTTACTTAACTCTCTGTGCCTAATTTTCTATCTGCCTAATAGGAATATAACTACTTCGTACAGCGTTATCGAAGGGATTTGACTTCTGTAAATCCTGGAAGACCAGGACCGGGCACGGTGGGCTCACAGCCCTGTAATCCTAGCTCTCTGGGGCCAAGGTTGGCGTCATTGCTCGATCAGGGGGAGTTCGAACCAGCCTGATCAAGAGGGAGACCCTTCTTACTAAAATAGAAAGGAAATAATTGGCCAACTAATAATATATGAAAAAATGGAGCGGGCATGGTGGGCGCATGCCTGTAGTCCAGCTTACTCGGGAGGCGATGGACAGGAGATTTGCTGAGCCACGGAGTTTGAGGTTGCTGTGAGCTAGGCTGACGGCCATGCACTCACTTCTAGCCTGGGCACAAGCAAGGACGGTCTGTCTCAGGGTGACGCCGCAGGTCTGCCTTCGCGTGGCTGCGCTGACACCGCGTCTGAGCACACATGCGGTCCCCTCTGCGGCAGCGTGTGTGACGCCGCAGGTCTGCCTTCGCGTGGCTGCGCTGACACCGCGTCTGAGCACACACATGCGGTCCCCTCTGCGGCAGTGTGTGTGACGCCGCAGGTCTGCCTTCGCGTGGCTGCGCTGACACCGCGTCTGAGCACACATGCGGTCCCCTCTGCGGCAGTGTGTGTGACGCCGCAGGTCTGCCTTCGGGTGGCTGCGCTGACACCGCATCTGAGCACACACGCGGTCCCCTCTGCGGCAGTGTGTGTGACGCCGCAGGTCTGCCTTCGCGTGGCTGCGCTGACACCGCGTCTGAGCACACACATGCGGTCCCCTCTGCGGCAGCACG